CTCTCTCTCTCTCTCTCTCTCTCTCTCTCTCTCTCTCTCTCTCTTTCCTACCTCATAGGATTGTTATTGGGGAGACCAAAGAAGTCCTGCACGGCCACAGCTCAACAAATACTTATTTATATTTTATAAATATATGTCCAGAAAGGACAGTATCCATCAGTCTGCATCCATCAGGGTTAATAGCAGTAACTGTGATTCCATGAGGGATCTTGGAGCCTTAGTGGACAACCAATTAAATATGAACCAACAGTGTGTGGCGGCAGCCAAAAAAGCCAATGCAGTCCTAAATTGCATTGACAGCGGGATTCAGTCAGGATCACGTGAGATACTAATACCACTGTATAAAGCCTTAGCAAGACCATACCTAGAATACTGCATTCAGTTGTGGTCATCACACTATAAAAATGATGTAGAGACTCTAGAAAGAGTGTAAAAAAGAGCAAAAAAGATGATTAGGGGACTGGAGGCTAAAACATATGAAGAATGGTTGCAGGAACCGGGCATGGCTAGTCTAGTCAAGAGATGGACCAGGGGAGACATGATAACAGTATTCTAATATTTGAGGGGCTGCCACAGAGAGGAGGGTGTCAAACTATTTTCCAAGGCACCTGAAGGCCAGACAAGGAATAATGGATGGAAACTGACCAAGGAGAGATTCAACCTAGAAATAAGGAGACATTTTCTGACAGTGAGAACAATAAATCAGTGGAACATCTTGCCTTCAGACATTGTGGGAGCTTCATCACTGGAAGCTTTCAAGAAGAGACTGGACTGCCTCTGTCAGAAATGGTGCAGAGTCTCCTGCTTTGAGGGGTTTGGACTAGATGACCTACAAGCTCCCTTCCAACTCTGTTATTCTGTATTCCTGTAGAAAAACAGGATAGAATATTCTAGTGTGTGAATGATTCTGTCCATTCAACAATAACAGGGGAGGATCAACACACCCCTTCATTTGTTGGTCAATCAGAGAACAACTTATCTTCAAACAAGCCTCAGATAGGAACATGTCTAAATGTCCAAACTCAAAAATCAGCTTTTCAGAAATGTAACTTCCTCTTCTCTTGCACGGGCACTCTGGCATAGTGCTAATTTTATGGAAAAGAAACTCTACCCATGTGACCCATGCGCATTTATTCGATTTATTGCTACATAAAAGAAGTCCATTAAACAAATGCTTTCTTCCAAGAGGGAGGAATGTATTTCTCCCCCTCTATGATGCAATCAGGAACACTTTTTATGACATCTTGAAACTATTGTGGCATGGATGAGAGTGACTATACGTTAGGAAGTCAGGAAGCACAATCTTTTACTAATCTTGAAAGTGTGGTGAAAGTTTCGTTGTTGTTTTCCTTGTAGATAAAACAGTTAACAACAAGCAGAAAGATTCTCCTCCTAATCTGATGCCAAAGGGGGCCTCCCCATGCCCATGCCCACCATCAAAAGTTTCACTCTTGGTGAACTCTATTTTATTTATTTATTTATTTGATTTGTCAATTGTTTACAAGATAAGTATAAGTGTATACATTTCATGTATACATACATGAAATGGGTACATGTAAGAAAAATAAAAGAAAAATAAAAGAAACAATAGGACAGGGACGGTAGGCACATTGGTGCGCTTATGCACTTTCTGAGTCTGAATTTTAAGATCTGTGAATTTCAGCACCAAAATTCCCCAACTAGCCATGTTGGATTTGGAATTCTGGGAGCTGAAGTTTAAATATTTTCATGTTCTCAAGGTTAAGAAAACACTGCACTAGATTATAGTTTTGTTGACCAAGAGGAAAATTAACAAATATAAGGAATAAATCTTACTTTAACAGAAACATAAAGATAAATTAAGTCCATTTTGGTTTTTGACACCGTCCCCCAAAAGCCGCTCTTAAAAGGCACCCCAACTTTCCACATGAAAGAATTTAAAGTGGAATATTCTCTGGATGTTTGGGAACATCGTCTGATAAACATCAGTTGGGTAATTTGTGTATTATAAAACTGCATCTTCCATGCTTGTTTTTGCAGAGATGAAGAGCTCCAGATAACCCACAAATTTCCTCACACTTCTGTAACCTTTTGATCAGTGCTAAGGGTCGGCGTAGCTGGGTGGCAAGAGTCAGTCAAACTTTCATGTAAGATTGGCATTTGGAGTAGCAGTGTTCCAATGTCTAAAGGGCTGCCCCAAAGAAGAGGGAGTCAACTTATTCTCCAAAGTATCTGACGGCAGAACAAGAAGCAATGGATGGAAACTAAGCAAGGAGAAATCAAGCCTACAATTAAGGAGAAATTTCCTGACAGAATAATCAGTGGAACAACTTGCCTCCAGAAGCTACGGGTGCTCCAACACTGAAAGTTTTTAAGAAGTGAGATTGGACAGCTATTTATAATGATATAAAGTTTCCTGCTTGAGCAGGACATTGGATTAGAGGTTGTCCAAGGTTCTTTCCAACCATATTATTCTGTTAATATTTGGATGGAGACCACCAAGAAATCTCCCAATTATGAAGTGGCCTGGGAAACTGGAGAAAAACAGACAACGAACTGGAAGAAACCAGCAACAAATCAACTTAGGGGCTTTTGCCAGGAAAATCCCGTTCTGAAAATAATCCAGAATGGACTCAACCCAAAGAGGAGTTTACCCGGGGGTGGGATTCAAATTTTTTAACGATGAGTTCTGTGGTTGTGGCTTAGTTGGTAGGCATGGCTTGGTGGTCATGTGACTGGCTGGGCGTGGCCAACTCAACATCACTCACATCGAGGCACGCATCTCCTCGCCTGGCCTCTCATGACTGTGGGGATGCTGCAACAGTTGTGTGAAAAATGGTCATAAGTCACTTTTTTTCAGTGCCATTGTAACTTTGAATGGTCACTCGACACAAGCAAAGTACCAGCAAAGGAGGGAAAAAAACTCCAGAGAAGTTCCTGAGATAGGAAGTCTAGTCCTGCTAAGAATGTAACAAGGGTTAACAGAGAGGCAGTTTCTGTAAGCAACACCAGAATGTTTCCTTCCTGCCTTCCTTACAGGATTAGGCCAGTAATTTCTTCTAACAACCAGTTCTCCGAACTACTTAGAATGTTAACAACTGGTTCTAGCGAATAGATGCCAACCTGTAGAACTCCACCCCGAGTTTACCTTTAATAACTACATCAGTTCCTAAAGGTGCTTTTTCAAGAGGCAACTGGACTTTCTGGTTTTTCTTTGAAGGACGTTTCATTTCTTATCCAAGAAGCTTCTTTAGCTGTTTGGAAGGTGGGAACAATAAGAAGTAAAACGGTCTTCAAGGAAAAAACAGAAAGCCTCTTGAAAATTCACTGTTGGAAGGAAAATCCATCTGGTTCAGGTGCAACAAGCCGGGAGAAAGACACTGGAAACAACATGGAGGCTGATTGGAAAGAAAGGTTTATTGATGAAGCAGACCCACCAGGGTTCTGGGGCAGCTGGTTGAATGAGTGGATGGATCCTTATAGATTTCTATGACTTTGAAGTTTGAACTGTTCTGGAGGTGGTGCAATGAAGGGGCTTATGTTCTGAAGATGGGTTGGGCAATTGGCTAATGGCTTTCGTCCTGGGTTGGATCTTGGGTGAGGGGCTGCTCTCTAATCTTACCATTCTGCCTTTGCTAGCTGTCAAACTTTGCTGCAAGGAGTTTTGAAATGTTTTGAATGCGCTTCTGCTGGCAGTATTTGCTTTGCTTCTGAATAAAGCCATCTAGCTAGTTGGCTCCTTCTTTCAATAAGCTCTACTATTACTGTTAATCTTCTCATCACTCCTTATCACCCATCCCCTCCCACTTGTGACTGTATGACTGTAACTTTGTTGCTTGTATCCTTACTTGACTGTTTCCTAGTATGATTTGATTGCTTGTTATACCCTATGACTATCATTAAATGTTGTACCTTCTGATTCTTGACAAACCTATCTTTTCTTTTATGTCACTGAGAGCATTTGCACCAAGACAAATTCCTTGTGTGTCCGAGCACACTTGGCCAATAAACAATTCAATTCAATTCAATTCAATTCAATTCAATTCTACTCTACTCTACTCTACTCTACTCTACTCTATTTATCTCTTCAACTGCTGGCATCTGCTGTGGGCTTTTAAGACTTGGGAGCTGCTTTTCTGTCTTTAAGAGCATGTTTCTCCATTTCTCCATTTGGGCAAATATAATAATCTGCCTTTAAAAATAAATAAATCCCAAAATATTTCATTCTTTGGGAGGGGGAGGCTTCCCACAGCACCTTTGGGACAACCATGTCCTGGATGGCTGAGAATCTCCATCGGCCAACTACATTGGTCAACCAGTACTAACCACAATAATAACAGGACCACATCGGTGCACTACGCCTTAAGGTAACCTCTCTTTGTTTTTTTTTCAAAACTTTGCTTTGCAAGGTTGGGGAGGCTGGGCAGCTGAGCGACACCAAGTTTTCATTTCCAAGATTGTGCAATAAGCAACCGTGGCCAAAGCAACAACCTCTCTCCGCCTCCCGAGAAGCGGCCATAAACAAAGCCACGTGTCCTCCCTCCCCTCCCCGGGCGCAGGGCGGAGTTTGCGCGCTTCTTCCGGCAACAAAGAGCCACCAGCTGGCCCGGATAAATACAGACGCGGCTGGAGCCCGGGCAGAGAAGCGGTCGGGGGTTTTGAATCGTCGTCAAGGGGTGGAGGGAAAGTGGCGTCCTAAAAAAACACGAAACCGTCCAGCTCAGGTGGCATCTCCGGGTTTCCTTTTGGCCACCGAGCATCTTTAGAGCTTCTGCTTTGGAGGCAGCCCAAGGCGCGCGGTCTCTCTCTCTTGCGCCTTGTATTAGTATTATTATTGTTTTGTTTGTTTCATTATTTTTCTCTCCCGACGGGCGTCCCTCTCTTTCGGTTGCCTGCAATGCCTTTTCTGGGGCAGGACTGGCGATCACCGGGCCAGAACTGGGTGAAAACGGGGGATGGCTGGACCAGGTTCCTGGACGGGAAGGAGCACGGCGGCTGCGACAACGAGAAGAACAGGTGAGATGCGTTGGGGGTTGGAGAGGTGGCGAAAGGTAGGTCCCAAAGGCTTTAAGGCAGCCTCGGGAGTAGGAGCCGTGGGGACACTCGGGGCAGGAGCAATTGAGCAAGGGGGAGAAGCGGATCTTGGCTCGGAGGCGTATTTCACATATATATGTGTGCGCCTTTGCAAAAAAAAGAAAAGAAAAAGCAACCGTACCACCAGGAACAATGCAGGATGCTTTGTCCCGAGCGCACGTCTGTTTGCGCCAGGCTGCAATGCCTTTTTTTTTTTTTTTGTTCCTGGCTTGCGGCGTCATCGCGGGCAGGAGATCTTGCAAGCTGAATTTAGCGAATAAACCAGCAGGGGAAGGGCGAACCAACCAGCCCTGCGGCGCCCCGCACAAAACGTGTTGGCTTCATATCCTACGCAGTTGATAATATTTTACCTTTGGCTTCAAGATGCCAGTCCCAACTGGCCTCCCCTTAACCTCTGGTATAGATAGGGCTGTCCAGATCTTTGGGGACTATAATAACACCCCGGGGGTTTCTTTTATGGATTGGGAATTGTGAGAACTGTTAACTTCTGTTAACTTATCAGCAGCTGGTTCAGGAGAGGATGACCTAAAAGGTTTAAGATGACGTTACCTTCTAGCAGTAGAATCTCCAGGTTCAATGATTCTGTACTGTTCCTAAGCTTTAACTCAGTTTGTCTTGCTGCTTTGCTTATGTAGCCTCTGAGAATATATCAACATTTGGAGAAGGAGAGCAGTAATGAAGTAAAAGGAAATAATGGGACCGTCAGAATATCTGAAGCTTAGGAATTCCCCTAAAACTCTTTCGTAGACTGGAAAACATAAAAATCATGCATTTTTTTTCTAAACTTTCATGGACTTCAGTCATGGGTAATGAATTCCAGTGTTTCTCTATATTTTCTAAGCCTTAGATGCCCTTGATCATATGGCTGTTTAATTAGCCATGCCACTAACTTTTTTTAAATTGGAAAAGGTCCATTCACGAAAGTCATGGTGCCCACAGTATGCTGTCAATTATCAGATCATGCCTATCAGGCAAAAGAAGTTAGATGTGTCCTCCCTGCTGTCACCTCCTGTCCCCTCCCATTGCTCTTATGACACCTGCCTAAAATTTAGTGGGTCCATGTAAATCTGATTCCACCCCCCCAGTTGATGGTAGGAAGTCTTAAGACCCAATACCAGCAAGAAAAACATGGACTGAGCCATCTCTATTGCATGACAGTGCTATCACAAGGGATATGAGTTTGGTGTTCTACTCATAAGTTCCTAGGAAACTAGCGTGCTGTAAAGACATGTGCAATGTTCTCTTTGTTGTTATAAGTGAACTCCACCTTAATAACATGACTCTCTCCCTCGTGGAAGGGCAGCCTGCCAGCATGCTTGGGAGGTGTCATCTTCAGCTACAACTCCCATAATCGGCTGAAGGTAGTGGAAATTGTAGTCCAAGTCTCCCTAAAAGGGATCAGATAGTTGGAGAAGTTTGTACAGAGTGTGTTGGGTAGTTCAGCTCAGGAAACATGCATGTTGTTTAACTGGTGAGGGTCTCCCAAAGATTGGAGTTTCCAAAAAATAATTGGGCTGGAAAATGAGGAATTGTCAGCATGTGGTTTAAAGACTAGGCACTGGTTGCTTCCATTGGTAAGAGAGTTGAAAGATATAATGGGCAACAGAAATAATCTGGGAGGAAGAAGAGCCACAACATAAAAGTGCTTTTTCAAAATGCAATTGGACTTTGTTTTTCCTTGAAGATGTTTCGCATCTAATCCAAGAAGCTTCTTCAGTTAACTTCAGTTCACTTCTCCAGAACTGAAGAAGCTTTTTGGATAAGATCCAAAATGTCTTCAAAGGAAAACAAAATCCAGTTGCCTTTTGCAAAAGCACCTTTGGGGACAACCCTCATCTGGATAACTGAGAATCTCCATAGACAAGAGCCCCAACCAAAACAACAGTCAGATAAAAGAAATTTTAGTCTGGGCCAGAAATGTAAGTTGAGAAAACACCTCAGAGATGACTGTCCCTAGTTCTCTTGAAGTTAAAGGGAGAGGGGAGGAAGTTGGAGGCCTGCAAGGTTCTGCTATGGTAAACTTTATAATAAAAGTAGCATTAGCAGGCATAACTCTGGTGTCCTGCTCTGGTCTGTCTTAAAGGGCTGACAGAAAATCAGCAGAACTACAGAGCTCATTCTCCGTATCTAGGTCTCATCTAGCTGTGGATGATGCTGGTTGTAGGCTGATAAATCCTGGGTAGTTGTAGGCTAGGGAAGAGCAGTTTGTAGAGCAGGGTTTTTTTTTTCCAACTTTGACCACTTTAAGACGTGAAGACTTCAACTCCCAGAAATCCCCAACCAGCATGACTGGCTAGGGAATTCTGGGAATTGAAGTCCACACATCGTAAAGTGGCTGAAGTTGAGAAACATTGCTATAGCATGTGAATAGTAATAACAATATACCTATAACCTGGCTTGTAGTCCAGTTTGGGCAAAGTATTTTGGATTTAAATAGATGTTGGACCAAATCCTCACTTAGCTTTTCACTAAATCTTTCTGAGCATGGTACAGTTTGTTTCAGAGTTAGCAGGCATACAATTGAACTGCCAAAGACTTAACTTACATCTTCGAAACAAAGTTCATTAAATGACTTCTTTACACAATAAATAAGTTGTCTGCAGAAGACAGAAACCAGGCTGCAGATTGATACTTTATTGTGGTCAGTTTTTCAGGGCTTCATTTATGCATCTCCTGTTCTTATTTTCCAGGAAAATGCCAGTTTGAATAAACTCCCGGTTAGTTTTGTATCATAATCAGCGGGTGGCTATTGTGGTGAAATAACCATCTCTCTCTATATATATAAAAAGAGACAGAAAGTCCCCAATAGTTGAATTTTTGCTTAGTTGTGTTATCTGTTTAGTTACAAGCAATTGATCCTGACAGTTAAGTGGTTTCACGGCTCCCTTATTGAAAAGTTGAACTAAACAAAATGGCCTGAATCTATTTTTAAACTCTTGAGAGCTCTGTTGCTTTAATATGTTTAGTTAACAAAAGTCTCTCTGGGTATTATGGCAGGTCATTCTGGTTTGTTTTGCTTGGCATGTGACCCAGCATTGGCCAGTTAAACAGTAATCTCTGTTTGCAAATTAAACACTCCTCTGCATAAAGACAATAACATTATTAAGCACTGACCAATCTTAGCTCCAGGATTCTTTGTGTCCTGCTGTGACTGTTGCATTTTGCATGTGCCTCGGTCCAATAAAATGAAAACCAGAAGAAAACAAAGCTTTCATAGAGGTCTAGTTACTTTCTTCAGAGTTTGTCCTGTTTGTTTTGCTTTCATGCAGAGCTCTTCAGAACAAAATGAAAAATGAGACGGGGTGACTAGGTTACCTAGTGGAATCGAAAACGTTCTTTTGAGGGACCATTAGCCCCAGACATTTTTGGCTGGGATGATAATTTTTATAAACGTTGCATTGTTTTTCCACCACCACTTCAGAGGAAGCAGAATGTTTTCAAACTGAAGCAGCAAAATTAATTGCAACTTTTTTGAGGTTAGGGCTTGTGGCTAAATATAACAGTCCTTGAGAACGTAGATTGGTAGTAGGTAGTTCATATAAAAGTTCTCATCCTTTTAAATCAACATTTGGTCAATGGATAATATGCATTATCGTTGGTCCATCCATGTGAAATAGATTCTTAGAAGGTCAAATTCTGAGATTTCTAGTTTGCACTTTTAATAGGGCCTTCTGTTTGCTGCTTCTGCTGGTTACACCAGTATTGCAAAAAAAATAATAATGGATAACTGATCTGATCTCACGGAAAGGACTTTTGTGTGATTAACCCAGCTAGTGTTGGTTTATATGAGCGATCCTAGCGTGGAATACTGTAGGAAATTATCTTGTATATTCAAGCTGAGTCAGAGACTTTTCCAGCAGGCACACTAACTTGGTTGATTTTTAATCCAAGCATATGTCAAGGCAGCCTATTTTCCTTTCTTCCTAATCTGAATAAGCTCCGGAGGATCGACAGAATTCTGAGGATTTTCAACAGCTGGTGTAAAACATCTGTCTGTAACAGTTCCAGCTCAAGATTTTGGAGCAAGATGCCCTGAGTAAGGGTTCCGCCCCCCCCATTTTGAACACACTTATCACTGTCAAACAAGGCTATGCACGGGAATTGGGATGCTGCTTGTCTGCAAAAATCCAGCCAATTACAACATGGAAAGTTATGGAAAATACCATCCAGTTGTAGTGCAGTTGTTGGTAGGCTGGAGATAAGAAGTAGCTTTATTGTTCCTATCAGAATAACAGAGTTGGAAGATACCTTGGAGGTCATCTAGTCCAGGGGTCTCCAACCTTGGCAACTTTAAGACTTGTGGACTTCAACTCCCAGAATTCCTCTGGCTGAGGAATTCTAGGAGTTGAAGTCCACAAGTCTTAAAGTTGCCAAGGTTGGAAATCCCTGATCTAATCCAACCTCCTGTTCAAGCAGGAGACTGTGTATAATCCCAGAGAAGTGGCTGTCCGGTCTCTTCTTAAAAGCCTCCATCGATGGAGTACCGAGAACTTTTGAAGGCAAGCTGTTCCACTGTTTACTTGTTCTCAACAAATAGGAAATTTGTCCTTAGTTTTAGGTTGCTTCTGTCCTTGATAAGTTTCCATCTATTGCTCTTTGTCTTGCCTTCAGGTGCTTTGGAAAATAGATTAAACCTCCCCTCCTCTCTGTGGCAGCCTTCAAATATTGGAATACTGCCTTCATGCCCCCTCCCCCCCAGTCCTTCTTTTCACTAGATTAGACATATCCAATTTCTGCAACCGCTTTTCATACCTTTTAGCCTCCTAATCATCTTTGTCGCTCTTTTCTGCACTCTTTCCAGAGTCTCAACATCTTTTTTTATAACATGGTGTCCAAAACTGGATGTAGTATTTTAGGTGTGGACTTTCATTTCATTCAGAAAATAGGCAATGAGAGTACAATAGATGAACAGGAAGATTGGA